CCTCCCTCCTCCCTCCTCCCTCCTCCCTCCTCTAGGGCCTGGTGGGTCTGGGCCACCCCGGACTCCCATATGGAGTGGGGTCTGAGTTCTGGCCCCCGCCAGCTGACCGATTCGCTGGGCCTGGCAGAGGGAGGTGCCTGGGTCCCTTCTGGGCAGTTGGGGGCCTCTTCCTAGGGGCCCTGCGGCTGCCTGATTGCACCCCTCTGACCCTGCTTGAAGGCCTTGGCTCTGGGAGGCACCGCTGACCTGGGGCCGAGATTTGGGGCTGGGGCCACTGGTTGGGCAAAGGGCACGGTGACCGCAGAGGAGCTGAAATTTCAGCCTGAGCGTAAACTGACCCGGCTGGAGGCTGTGGGCGAGCCGTGCGCCTGGGGTCGGAGGGCCAGGCCCCGACCAGGGAGGCGGAGCTGGCACCGGCGGGCGTGAGGCCACCCTGCCAGGCCCTGCCCGCAGCCTCTGCTGTTGGCGTTCCGCTCACAGCCGGCATCCCTGGCTGAGCCCACTGGCACCAGGGCCAGCGCCGCCCGGGGGGCATGCTGCCCGGCCTCAGTTCCTGAAGGGCCCCCCCCCCCCCCCCCCGTTCCAACCACCCCCGGCTTCCCCCAAACCCCGGCGCGCCGTGGTCCCACCGCAGTCCCTGCCGGGCTGCCACTTCTCCCCTGGGCGGCAGGGGAAGCAGTCCTTCCGGAAGGTGAGGGCTGGCGGTGGGCGTCCTCACTGCAGCGTTTCCGTTCCGGGGGCGCCAGGCAGGGGCACAGAGATGCAGGGGTGGGCGGATGCTTATGTTCCAACCTGTCCTTGTCTTGGCTGCTGGCTCTCCGAGAGGGTCTTTCTTACCCCTTTGTGCCCGTCTCCCCTCCTGGGCACCCCCTTTTCTACTCCATGCCCCTCCTGGAAGCTCCTGGCCCACTTCAGCCCCGTGGGACCCTCCCCGGCTCCTGTATGTGGACCCAGCCGGCCCTGCCCGCTGGGCTCCCTGCCCCGCCTGGGCTTGGCTCCTGCAAACTCAGAAGGGCCTGGGGGGCGCTGAGGTCCCCTTTCTAAGAACCTGGGGTTCCCTGTCTGCTGGGAGGGGCTGAGTCTGGGGCTCCCCCCTCCAGCAGCCTGAGGCTGGCATTTCCTGCCACCTCCCACCTCCCCCGCCTGCCAGGCAGAGGCCGGAAGGGAGCTGGTGGGGGTTCCCCGGCTTCCTGCTGCGGGGTCCCGGCGGGTCCTGGGGGGCGTGCTGGGGGAGCCTGTACAGCTCAGGAATGTGGTCCGTGGGGACACCCGTCCCTCTCCCAGGGGCCTGCGGGCCACCGGATGGGCAGCTCCCGAGGTGGTTATAGTTCTGCTCGCAGACAACCATCGGGGAGCACACCGCCCCCAGGCAGCCGTTCATCTCAGTCGCATTCTGAGCGTGGACATTCTGTACTTCTAGCTGCTTGTGTGACCTTCACCCTCACCCCCGGCCCCGGGCGAGCCTGCCGACCGCTGGTCCCTCTAGCTACTAGTGTGACCTTCACCCTCACCCCCGGCCCCGGGCGAGCCTGCCGACCGCTGGTCCCTCACCGCTGGTCCCTCGGCCGTTTCCTCTACTTCCCGGCTTCTGTTCTGGCCTCTGGGTATTTTGCATTTTAGAGTCAGTTTTGTGGCCTGAACTACTTTTTGTGCCAAGAGATCTGTGTACCGCCTCTTCCATGCTGCCTTCCGGGACTGACCCGGGCAGCTCAGTGAGGTCCCTTTGCTGGCGTCGGGGTTGCCAGGGCGGGACGGTCTGGATGGGGCCTGTCTCTTTCTGGAGGCCCCTTGAGTTCCCAGCCTTCTCCCCGAGTCCCACCGGTGCTGATGGTCTCAGCGGAGGCAGGTGGGGTGTAAGGGGGTGAGGTGCTGGGGTTTGGGGCCTGGTGAGGCCCCGGTGCTGAGGTCCCAGATGTGGCCCTTGGGCTTTGTCCTCCTCCAGAGGCCCCGTGCGCCCCTCGGGCGGTGGGCTGGGTCTGGGGCTCTGAGCCTGGGCTCCTGGAGGAGGATCAGATAAGCGTGCGGGGCGAGTCCTTGCGAGTCCAGAGTAGGGCTTTTTCAGAAGAACCTTATCGCCCCATCGCTGCCGCTTATCAGAGGGCGGGGACAGCACCAGCGGGAGGAGGCGGAGCCCTGGCTCCGAGGGGAGGCCGGGCCCTGCAGCAGCCGCTGGGGCGCTTTCGCCTTCTCTCCCTGACATTCCTTCCCCGGCCAGAGTGTGTCTCTGCAGAAGACTCCAGAACACACACCCAGCCATTGTCACCCCGGCTCCCAGCGTGTCTGCGTGGCCATCTGTAAACAGGAAGCGCCATGTGGGGCCTGGGGCAGCCAGTCCTGCAAGGCAGGCATTGGGGGCCACTGCCCCTCCTGACGCGGGGCCCCCAGGGCTCACACATTCTGTTTGGAATAATGGCTGCAGCCTTGACACGGGTGCACAGGATGGGGCGCCCTGAGGAGCCAGGCCCCGCATGTGGGGATGGGCTGTACCCAGAGGCCAGGGCTCCTTCCCGTGCCCCCCCTTCCTCCCCGGCCCCTCCTCACGCCCTCTTTCCTCTCCTGCCCAGTCCCCCTTCCCGCTCACCGGCTCCCCTCCTCAGGGCTCTGACTTGGGCTGGGTGCTGTGATGTCTTGGGGGGCTGGGGGAGCTTTGGGGTGCAGCCTGGCAGTCACCTCCCTCCCTGTCTCCCTCCCTTCTTCCTTCCGGCCAAGCTTTCTCCTCCATCTCCCCGCCCCCCACCCCCCTTCCTGCCCTGGATCAGCAAACAAGCAAAGCGCAGCTCAGGCCCCACTGCTCAGCCACGAGTCCCTGCATGTGTGGCCGGCCAGCAGCCCCCTCTGGTTCAGGGGCCTCGGTCCCCGCCCCCGGACTCCCTGCGGAGGGTGGAGAGAGGTGGGGAAGCTGCAGGAATCCAGGAGTGACCTCTCCCTCTTGGCGTATCTGTCACAGAGGCTGGGAAGGAAGATGGGCGTCTCCCCTCAGGGCAGCCAGGCGCCCCCCACCCCCCATGGCCAGCCTTTCCCCAGATACCCGCAGGGGTCGCCTTTGCCCCTCAGTGTGGGCTCTGGTGATGTCTGCAACCCGCGTCTTGCTTCCCTTTCTCTTGCCCCTGGACGTCAGCAGGGCGTGTCCGGCCGCCTCTGCAGAGCGCCTGCCTGTCCGCGCCAGAGACAGGCTTGGCCGGGCTCCTGGCCCAGGTGTGCGTGCAGGCAGGTGGGGTGGCCTGGGACACAGTGGTGCCGGCCTGGGGGCGACTGTAGACTTCTGGGAGCGTGCCTCCCCGTGCCTCAGTTTCCCTGTCTGTCACAGGGAGATCGAGGCTCTGCAGGTGCCTCACAGGTCACGGCCTGTCCGCCGGGTCAGCCCAGGGAGGGCTCTCGGTCCACACGGGGGCCAGGGCGTGGAATGGCGACACCCCCCTCTGCCATCGCCTGGGTTTCCTTACGCTTCTGTTCTCAAGTTCTGTGCCTGCGAGGCTTTCCGTGGGCAGAGGAGGCCCCTTCGCTGGTGGAGCAGGTACCCGGCAGGCAGGCCCCGCCCGGCTTGAAAGTGAAATTCTCGAGGGGAAGCAAGGGAGGAAGTGCCTGCAGGCGGGCCTTCGGGATGGAAACTGGCAAATGCTCCCAGACGGTCTGGCGGCCGCAGAGCCTCTGATTCCTGTGGGACCACCTGCTCGAGGGCGCCCGCGCCGTCATGCACGAGGCCCCGAGGAGGGCCTGGGCCTGGGCTGGAGTCGGACCTTGGGCTGGTTGGGGGTGGCGTCCTGAAGCGCGATGCTGTGTCCCCCAAGGCGACCGATGGGAGGAGAGGGCCCGGGAACCTGCGTGTCCCCCAAGGCGACCGATGGGGAGGAGAGGGCCCGGGGACCTGCGTGTCCCCCAAGGCGACCCATGGGGAGGAGAGGGCCTGGGACGAGGCGTGCACCGCGATTCATCCCGCTCTGGGCCCCGTGTTGCTCTGAGGTTCAGGGAGTCGAAGTCGTCCCGGGCGTGGAGGGGCTGCCTGGCTGTTGAGGGTGCAGCCAGGGGTGGACGAGCTGGGGGGTGGACTCCCTGACTAGGGTGTGTGTGGACGGGACTCTCCATTGTGCCCATGGCCCCCGGGGCTTCTCAGAAGCGTGGTCGCTGCCGCCGGGCTGTGGGGAGGCTGAGGCCCAGAGGGACATGGCTGGCCCGGGGCATCCTGCGGGCTCCAGGGTTCCTGCTCCGGCCCCGGGCGGGCATTCACCACCTGAGTGCCCGCTGGGTGCCCTGCTGCCAGCCCTCGGGCTGGGGCCTCTGGGTGCCCTGCTGCCAGCCCTCGGGCTGGGGCCTCTGGGTGCCCTGCTGCCAGCCCTCGGGGTGGGGCGGGAGGCCTACCGGGAGCTGGTTGGGCTTTGAATCCCTGAGATGAAAGGCGGATGTGGGAGGCCCTGCCTCTCCCCGTCTCGGCGGCTGCCCCACTCCAGGCCTGGCACACAGCTGGGCCCCTCCGAGAGGCCACCCAGCAGCCTGGCCCGCAGGGCCCTCGGAGTCAGGTCCTGGTGGTCTGAGCAGGCCCAGGCCTTGGATTGGGGAGCAGCCGGCCCCGGTGCAGGCCGCGCCCAGCCAGGGCAGGTGTCGAACACAGGTCCCCGTTCTCCCTGTGAAATGGGGTGATGGCAGCCCCCCGCCTCTGCCTCACTCCAGACACTCGTCTGCCCTGGGCAGGGAGTTGGTTCTGCTCCACAGGGGGCGCTGTCTCCCCGGACCCCCTGCAGTATCTGCAATTGTCCCAGACCTTCCGTTGGACCCCTGAGTGCATGGGAGAGGGGCTGGCGCTCCCGGCTCCCGGGCGGTGCCTTGGAGGGAGCGTGTACCCCCTGCCTGGCCCGGCCTGGCCGTGTTGCCGGGAATTGGGGCCGGTGAGCCCCGGGGGACGGAGGGGATGGGCGCCTGGGCCTGGCTCTCCTCCGTGGCCTCTGACCGGGGTAGCGGGCCCATCTGTGGGGTCCTAACCGCCTCCCGTGCTTCTTGTCTTGCAGACTTCTCCACCCAGGTGAACTCGTCCCCCCTCACCTCGCCCACGGGGCGTGGCTCCATGGCCGCCCCCTCGCTGCACCCCTCACTGGGGCCCGGCCTCGGTGCCCCGCTCGGCTCCCCGGGACAGCTGCACTCGCCCATCAGCACGCTGAGCTCCCCCATCAACGGCATGGGCCCGCCCTTCTCCGTCATCAGCTCCCCCATGGGCCCCCACTCCATGTCCGTGCCCACCACGCCCACGCTGGGCTTCGGCACCAGCAGCCCGCAGGTAAGTGGGGGCGGGGCCGAGGGTGGGGCCTGGGCCACCTGCAGGATGGCTGTGGCATCACGTGGCCCCGGGGGCCCCTCATCTCCGGGAAGCGGAGCCTCAGAGAGGCGGCCTTGGCCTGGGTTTGAGCCTGGGCCTGGCTGACCCTTGAGCCCATGGCCCTCAGAGGTCACCGCTTCAGCACGGCCCCCTCCTGTCGGGGGTGCCCTGCTCGCGTGGCTTGGAGCTCTGCAGGGTGGGGAGTCCATGTTCTCAGGCTGACACCCACCTCCCTGGGGCCCATGTCCTCTCAGCAGCCCCTGTGGCCCCTTCTTGGGCCTGTCCTTCCCCTCCCGTCTCTGCTCATTCCCAGGCCCCGCCGGGCAGATGTGCCTGGTGCAGTGCAGACGCGTCCCTGCTGGGGCCCCGGCCTCGGGCCCGCGTGGCCCGCTCACTGCCCTGCTCCTGGGCCTGTCTAGGCGGGGCTGGCGGAGCAGCTCGTCACCCCTGTGCACCTGGGGCTGGGGGTCCCCTGGCCTTCCGGAAGCCGGCAGAGGCCGCGGGATGGAGGGCGGCTCGGCCACCTTCCCGGGCTGTTTGGTGAAGCTGCAACCCCCCTTCTTGCTGGCTGCCAGGGCACACGAAAGGGCAGCTGAGACTGCAGCCCGGGCAGTGGGGTGCCTACGCCCTCAGCCCCGCGAGCTTGGTGCTTACAGACCTGCCGCCCGGCCTGGCACCCCGGAGCTGTGCACGGGGGGCAACCTGCAGTGGGCTGTCAGGGGCGGGGCCTAGGGTGCCCGCAGACCTTGGGGTGCCTGGTGGCCCTGACCCTGTTAGCTGTCCCGGGGCAGGGATGGGTGGAACTGGTGGGGGCTCCAGGGCCGCCTCTGCTCTGCCCTCTGTTCCCTGCATGCCCCGCGTTCCTGGCGCGGACGGTGCTTGTTGAATCCAGAGCGTGAGCTAAGGGCCCAGGCCGCTCCGGGTGGACGAGGGGTCCAGGCAGGGGTTAGGCCGGGAGGGGGAGGGCAGAGCAGACCGTGTGCCCAGAGGGTCGCCGCTGTCCTGCTGGTCGGCTGTCGGTCTGTCTGTTTCCAGGTGGTTGGGCTGCACTTGGCTTTGTGTGGTCTGAGCCCGTGCTGGCCCTCTGCCCGGGCCCCTGACCCCTGACCCCTGACCCCTGCCTCACCGCTCAGCATAGCTCTTTCCCTGGGAGCTGAGCCTGGCTTTCCGGCGCGAGCAGTTGGTCCTGGAAACCGGGGCTCCCCATATCCATGGGGTGTGGGTGAGTTCCAGGGGCGCGCCCCCACCCCTGCTCCAAGCCACAGCACTGAAGGCGGCGTCGCCGGGACCAGCGCGGTTCTGTCTTCTGCTGCCGTCGGGGGGCTGGCGCTCTGCCCAGCACTGCCTGCGCGAGTCCACGGCCAGGGCCCGGCCCGCCCCATCCACCCCCCCTGGGCCCGCCTGCAGGTCCGGGGACGTGTGGGGTCGGCAGATCCGGACCACAGTGTAGGCACTGGCGCCCCCGCTGTCCTCGCCTCCTCTGGTCGGGGGCTGCACCCTCACAGGGCCCAGGGAGCGTCCCCGTCACATCCCAGAGCGTGCCCACAGCGCCTGGCACGCGTGGGCACCTTGGTGTCCCGGCCTCGCCGGCTCAGCAGAGCCTCCCGGTCCAGGCGCGGCCCCGGCCCTGCCGGCTCCTGCTGTGGTCGCCGTGGCGGCGAGGCCTCAGCCACCTGGCGTCCACACGTGACTGAGCGCGCCTCACAGGGTTTGCCTCCGCTCTGATGGACAGATGGAGGCAAGGCGGGGGGTGCTCCGGGAGGCAAGCGGGGGGGCTCTGGGCCTGCCCTCGGTGCGTGGAGGCCCGGAGCCCCCCACTCGAGGTCTGCCGTGGGCAAGGGCCTCCCAGCGCGGCCAGTGGGGTGGGGGTGGGGGCTGCGTGCGATCGGGAGGAAGGGCGTGGTGAAGGGGGAGAGGCCGGGAGGGATGAGCAGGGCCCCGGGCGTTGGCCCGGCAGCGGTTGTCTGAGTAAGTCCCATCGGCTCCGGCGGGAACTGAAATAAAGGCCAAGGATATGAAAGGGGAAACGGGGACCGCACCCCGGCCACACCGAGGAGGCTTCGGGCTCTGGGTCCCCTAGGAGACGGGTGGAGTGGAGGTAGGGGCTTCGGGGCCCAGTGGGGGGGGTGGCAGAGCGAGGCCCCGGCTGCCTGCTCTCTTCTGGGAGCCGTGACCAGCCCGAGGCCTGGGAAGGGGAAGGAGGACCCCTGGCCGAGGGCCTGCCTGTGGCCGTGTCGGACTGCCTGGCAGTTGAGATAAAAAGCAGAGTGGGGCCCAGCCAGTGCGGCTCAGTGGGTGAGTGTCGACCTATGAACCAGAGGTCACAGTTCGATTCCCGGTCAGGGCACAGGCCTGGGTTGCGGGCTCCATCTCCAGTAGCGGGTGCACAGGAGGCAGCCGATCCATGATTCTCTCTCATTGTTGATGTTTCTATCCCTCTTCCTTCCTTTCTGAAACCAATTAAAAAACACACATGTACGTAGACGTGTATATATACATGTGGGGGGTGGGGGAAGCGCGCGGGCAGAGTGGGGGGCCCAGCCCCAGTGGCTCAGTTAGATGTCATCCTGTGCCCCTCAGGGTTGCCGGTTTGATGCCTGGGTGGGCACACGCCTGGGTGGCAGGTCTGATCCCAGTCAGGGCACCCATGGAAGGCACCGGATTGATGTCTCTCTCACATCGGTGTTCCTCTCTCGCCCTCCCTCCCTGGGGCCGGCAGAGGGGCTCCCGCAGGCAGGGTCTCCGAGGGCTCCCCAGCCCCGGCCAACTCTGTGCCCAGGGGACGCGGAGCCCGGGAGGGCAGGGAGTGCGCCACAGCCTGGGAGTCAGTGTGTCATGGCACTGACCGAGACCAACCTCTCCGTCTGTCCTGCCTGGTGGGACCTGGCCAGCCTTCCTCCAGTACTGCCTCAGTTTACCTAGGGCAGGCCCCAGTTCAAGGACCTGTATGTGGGGGGCCGGGAGACAGGGCAGGTGCCCCCTTCCCACCCAGCATGGTTTGGGCAACCACAGGAGGGGGCAATGGTCATTCTTGTCCCTGGGATGCCAGGCTGACCCAGCCGCGGGCATGGTGGCCGGTCCCCCCTCGGGGAGGGCTGCAGCCGGGAGGGGCCCCCTCACATCCTCAGTGGCTCCCAGTTGGCTCCTCGGGGCCTGCCCTTGGCCGCTGGTGCCGTCCCCCCACTTCCAAATGTTTGGTCGGGCAGCCCCTCCCTGGCCCCAAGCCGGGCGGCGGGCTCTCCTCGGGGAGAGGTGTGGGGGTGCAGCTGTGCCTGTCGCGCCTTAGCTGGGTGCTGCTCCCGCCCGCGGCACGCGGGGAACCTCGGGCTCGGAGGGATGACCTCCCCCAAGTCACCGCGGAGGCGGCAGGATTGGAGGATAAGCTAGGTCCCGTCCCTGGCACCTGGCGGCCAGCTGTGCGGGTGCCCGGGTGGGTCACTGGGGGGCCTTCTGCAGCGAGCGGGGTCACGCCTGGGGGCAGGGGCATTTCCCTGGGGTTCCCACGCCGTCTGCCCGAGACCGGCCTGTGGAGCCCGGGGTGCAGCAGCCCTGGGCATGCAGTCGGCGCCTTCTCGCAGCTGTGCGTGTCCCTCCTCGTCCCCTCTCATCTGGGACGCACCCTGCCCCCTGCAGACAGCGCAGGCCGCCCTGCTCTGCGGTGGGGGCCCCGGATGCTCGCCCCGTGGGCTGGCTCTGGCCCCCCGCAGCCCCCCCGCGCCCCGTGGGGGCGGTAACCGTCCGTACAGAGCACCTGGCCCGCCTGGCCGAGGAGGGACCGGGTGGAGGCCCGTGGAACGCCGTGGAGGCGGTTTCCACGTGTGTGCCGTGAGCACCGCGCTCTCCGGTCCCGTGAGAAAGGGGGGTGGGAGTTGGGGGTCACGGGAAGGAAGAGGATGAGGTTCCTGTGTGGGGAGGCGCCCGGGGCTACCAGGGGGCAGCAGCTGCCGCCCGTCCCCGGTTTCCGCCTTTGTCAGGGGTTTGCAGAAGTGGGGTGCTGGGGTGCTGCCTGGCCGGGGTCCTGGCGCCTGGGAGGCGGGCTGGCGTGTGGGGTGCAGCGGGCAGCACCGCGGGGCCCTTGGTGCTGACAGGAGAGCCGGGCAGACGCAGCGGAACCAAAACTGCTGTGTCATTGCAGCCCCGGCAGCTGTTGCCAGGGTGACGGTGAGTTTCCCACGCTTCCTTGGCGGCGGCGGGCTGCCGTGCAGGGCGCAGGGCTGTGAGGAGAGGCAGGGTGTCCCTCGCAGTGGATGCCCGAGGGGTGTCTCTGTCCCCCTCTCCTCCAGACACACGACCGGAGACCCCGCCCCGCCCCCCGAGGCCCGGGCATGTGGCCTCTGGGTGGACCCCAGCTCTCCTCCCTCCTCGCTGTGACCAGGCCTCAGTGCCCCTCTGTGTGCTGGGGATCCCCCAAGCGCCTGGCTCACCGGGAAGGTCATGGGGCTCACACTGTCCTGCCGAGGGGGTGCCCAGTAAGGGAGGCGGCTCTTAGGCGGGCGAGGGGCAGGGGCTGGGCGGGTCCCCTTCTGAAGATAGCAAGTGGGGGGTCGGCACGCAGCTGGTGCTCCTTGGGGCTCAGCCCTGCTGTTCCCCGGCTGTGGCCTGGGGTGGGCAGAGTCCCCTCTGAGCCTCAGTTTCTCTTTGTAAAGTGGGGCTGTGGCAGCGCTTCCCTGGCTGCAGGGCTGCGGGGGGCTGTGGCCAGGCTGAGCCCACGTTCCTTCCTCAGCTCAGCTCGCCCATGAACCCCGTCAGCAGCACGGAGGACATCAAGCCCCCGCTGGGCCTCAATGGCGTCCTCAAGGTCCCGGCCCACCCCTCAGGGAACATGGCGTCCTTCACCAAGCACATCTGTGCCATCTGTGGGGACCGCTCCTCAGGTAGGCGGGCAGCGGGCACAGGGCCTTCGGGTGTGGGGGGGCAGGGTCGGCCAGCAGTGAGGGGTGCCCAGGCTCTGGACCTTCTCGGGTTTTCACGTCGGGGAGATAGTAAGTGGGGCGCCCACGGTGGCCAGGGTGGTCCGGAGGCCCCGGAGGGGAGGCAGCTGGTGGTGGTGACGCTGGCACAGGAGGCGGCAGTGCGGGCTGTGCCTCTCTGGGCTGAGCCGGGGCAGAGGACCCCTCGCATTCACCTCTGCACCCCAGTAGCCCCCGGGGAGGACACGGATAGGGCCGGCTCCCGCGGGCCTGGGCCTCGCCCCAGCGCTGGAGCCCGGAGGCCAGGTGGGGCCAGGGGCCCGGGGGTGCAGGGGGTGCAGGCGCTCACGGCCGCCCGCCCGCAGGCAAGCACTACGGCGTGTACAGCTGCGAGGGCTGCAAAGGCTTCTTCAAGCGGACGGTGCGCAAGGACCTGACGTACACCTGCCGGGACAACAAGGACTGCCTGATCGACAAGCGGCAGCGGAACCGCTGCCAGTACTGCCGCTACCAGAAGTGCCTGGCGATGGGCATGAAGCGGGAAGGTAGGCGCGGGGCCCTCCTTCCTGAGCCGCCCCCAGCCCTGCACCGGAAGCTTCGCCGCACGCTGGTGGCGGGTGGCTGCTTGCATACCTCTTGTACGGGGCACTCACTCCCTCTAGAGGCCGCCGCTGCCGCCGCCACTCTATGGGCAGCATGTCCGGGCCCGGGAATCTCACCCACCAGATCCCTCCTGAGCGCCTGCTGTGGGCCAGGCTCCGGGACCCCAGGAGGGCAGCCTCGGTCCCGCACGGTGGCGCCCGGTGCTGCGGGACAGCTCTGGCTCAGACCCTGTCCGTGGGGGTCATGTCCAGGGCCAGCACGGGGCTCCAGGGACACAGGCAGAGCCAGAGGACGGCGAGGGCCACGGCTGGAGGTGGGAGGTGGGACGGGAATGGCTGAGGCTGGCACGGGGCGGCGGGTGCACATGGGTCCTGAGTGTGTCCCTGCTGTCCAGTAGGGACGGTTGAGGAGGCCCTAGTGGGGGCAGCGCTGATTGGAGAGTGGTGGGGGGCAGGGAGCTACAGAGGCCACCAGGCGTCCCCAAGCCTGCTGGATGCCGGGGTCAAGCTGTGCTCTGTTCCCCCTGCAGCCCTGGCGGGGTGACCCCAGCTCCAGGGCCTGGATCAGTGGGCTCCAGCCGCTGGCCTCTCGGCTTTGGATTTGTGGGCCCGGCTTATTGACATTTGCCGGGGGCGGGGCCGGCAGGGAGCACGAAGGTCACTCCTCTGAAGTCACTGAAAGGCCAGGCGGTGCAGCCAGGCCTGGGTCTGGGCCCTCAGTCCTGGCTCGCATGTGGCCTCCTCCTCGCTCCTGGCTGTCCGTGGCTCAGTTTCCCCATCGGTAGGTTTGGTGACCCCTGCGCTCAGAGTCACTCTCTCCAGAGGGTGGGCGCCCTGGGGTTGGGGTCTCGCCGTCTGTTCCCTTCTTCACGGTGGCTGTTCTGAGGCCCAGGCGTGGCTGGCCTGTGTCCCTCTCCTTCCCACTGCCTCCCGACTGCCCTCTTGTGGCGGCTGCAGTTTTTTCCAATTTCTTTCTTTTCTTGTTTTCGGCTCCTCCTCAGCCCCAATTGTTCTTGTTCAGAAATCGAAACCTCAGCGGGGCCATGGTGTCTGTCCAGCGGGATTCCTCCCTGAGGCTGCAGGCGCGGGGCGGTGATGCGGGCGGGCGGGGCCGGCTCCTGCCGCGGGCGCACTCCCCGCAAGGGCAGGGGCAGCTCGGGCTCCGGTGCTGAGCTGGGGGCCGCCGGGGCCTTCCTGGTCAGTGCACGTTTCATGTAGTGCATGGACCGCCCTCCTTGTGCAGGTGGAGGAACTGAGGCCAGGAGGTCAGGGCTTGTCCGGGCGCATGCGGGGCTGAGTTGGCCTCAGGCTCCCTCAGGACTGATATCTTTAGGCCCTTGGGGTGGCGTGTGCCCGGCCGATTGCCCTGGGTGCCCATTGCAGTCAGGGAGGGCTTGCTGGAGGTGGTGGGACACAGTAATGCTCCTGAAGGATGGGGATCGGGCCAGGATGAGCCTGAGGTGGGCAGTGGATTGGGTTGAAGCCTGGCCAGGTGCTGGGCACCAGTGTGCCAGGGGGAGGTGGGCACCCTGGCATGAGCCCGAGGCTGGAGCACAGACAGGCTTGGAGTGTGGCCGAGGTCTCTGACTCACCGAGCCCACCACGCTGGGCGCTGGGTCCGCAGCAGTGAGCTGTGGGTACCCTTCTGTCGAAAGTGAGCGTCACATAGCCACGCAGGGGAGGCACCGCCCCAGCCTTGGGCATCGGGCAAGGCTCGGGGTGGGAGGTGGCCAGGCCGGTGCCTGAAGAAGGGGTATCAGGCAGGCCGCTTGCCCAGCCCGAGGGTGTCGGGAGATGTGGCACAGGGCGGGGCATGGAGCCACCCTGCGCCCCAGAGGGTGACCCTCCACAGGTCCCTGGGCCTGTCCAGCTGTCCCCCTCGGGCCTGGGTGTCCTCACCCTCCAGCTTCCTGTCCCCTCGAGCACCCGTATCACCTAGTGGAGCTGCAGTTGGCAGGGAGACCCCCCCCGCCCCCCCGCCGTCTGACCCGCCAGCGCCTGGGTCTCGTCCCGAGCAGCTATCGGGGGTCCCTTCTGTGTACGGCCTCACTGGCACCGCCCCGTCTCCGCACGCTGTCCCAGCCGGTGCTGTGGGGCTGTCCCCACACTTGGCAGACGGGTGCCAGCCCAGGGCTGCGTCCCTCCGGCCTCCGCGCTCTGGTCTGAGCCCCGGGCGTGTCGGGGAGGCGGTGTGGACCCTCGAAGCCGGGCTTACGGGCCGGTCAGTGCCTGACCCCGCCAGGCCCAGCGCGCTTGGCCTCCTCCCGGGTTTCGGGCAGAACGTGCAGCAGAGCCCTCGTGCCCGGGCTCACTGAGTGGGGCTGCCCCGCCGGCCGTGCTGGGTGTTTGAGAGCCAGGTGGGCGCTGCCCCGGGCATGTGGCCCCCGTGCGGCGGTGGCTTGCCATGTTTCCTGGTGCCAGAGGGGCACAGTCCGCAGCCGTCCTCGGGAGAGTGACGTGTGGCCCCCGTGTGGCCTCAGTGCTGTCCCTACAGGGCGCTCCAGGGTCCCCCAGGACGGGTGGCCCAGAGGGGCCGGGAGGCATGGCCCCCCCAGTCTGTCCTGCAGCCTCGAGCCGGGCGCTAGGCACGGCCCCGCCCCTGGAATGGTCCCGACACAGCTCCTCTCCTCTGCTGTTCTGGGCAAAGTACTGCAGGGAGGACTCCCTGCTGGTGGGGGCACTGCTGGCCACACAGCTCAGGGCAGTGTGGGTGCCCAGGGGAATGGGCGCCAGGCGTGCCAACCCACTGTGCCCATGGCCAGGAGCTTATAGGAGGTGAGCTGCACCCTCAGGTGAGGAGACTGAAGCTGGCACAGGTGGCACTGCCCAGGGGCTGGTGGGAGGGGCAGCTCGAGGCTGGCACTGGTGGGGTGACCCCAGGGAGAACCCAGGGGGTCAAGCTCCGGGCGGACGGGACCTACCTCTTTGGCTGACGAGGTGCCGCCGAGCACAGCACCGTGGGGCAGGGGCGGTCCGTGAGTGTAAGCAGCCGCCAGTGGCCTGTTCCATCGCATGTGGGGGCGGGGCTGAGGCCCAGGTGGAAATGCCCCTCGGCCAGCCCCCCCCCCGCCCCCCTGCAGCTGAGCTCCTGCCTGTCACTGGAGCGTTGGGTGCAGGGCTGGGGCGCCTGGTCTGATGGGGGAGGCAGGCCCAGGCGTGGGGTTCCCAGTCTGAGGGGGGAGGCTGGCCTCCTGCTTCCTCCTCCAGGAAGGCCTCTCCCTGCTTCCTTCCTCCCGACCTTCGCTTCCTATGCCCCGTCTCCGGACTCTGAGGGCTGAGGGACCGGGGTGCGGAAGGGGCAGTGTCTGGTGTGTGTACATGTGTGTGCATGTGTGTACATGTGTGTGCAGGCACAGGCACGCGTGGCCCCACACATTTCTCCTGTAGAGGAAGAGCCGGCTGGGTCAGGTGCCTCCCCGTCACCCTTGGGCAAGTGACTGCTCCTCTGGGCCTCGGGGTGCCCGATGGCGGTGAGGCCATCGGCAAGGGGCCCCCAGCGCTTGCCCTGGGAGTGTGGCAGGTGGCAGCACGGTGCCTGGTGGGGCGGTGTGCATGTGTGTGTGTGTGTCCTGTGTGTGCATGTGTGTGTGCATGTGCACGCTGTGTGATAACTCAGTGCAGACTGTCCTGGGTCGCGACCCTCAGCTGAAGGCGGGCGGTCCCTCTGGGCTCAGGACCCCGAGTTCGCTGTGCACCGCGGCAGCGCCCCCTCGGGTCTCGGTTCCAGCCCTTAGAGGGGGTTGGGCCAGAGCCTTTGGTGAAATCCAGTCCTGCCTCCCGGGGGTCACGTAAGGGACAGACAGTCCCAGCTGGCAGTGCCCACAGCGCCCACAGCAGAGGAGGCAGCAGGGCCAGTGCCCGCCAACCCGGACGCCCCTTCCCACACGCTCGCCCTCACGTCAGCGGGCCTCCTGATGTTGGGGACCCTGCCTGTGTTGGGGTGAGCCCCCCTCTGGCCGTGTTGGCTGCTGGGGGAGGGTCTTCCCGGGGATTCCCAGCCTCCTCTGCCCACTGTGCTCAGACACCTCTTCCCAGACGCCTCCCGCCCGAGGCTCCTGGCGCCGGCGGGAGCGCCAGTCCGACAGGACCCCACCTGGGGGCCACCTGGGGGGGCCTCCTCCCTCTCCTGCCCCCGCCGCGGCCTGCAAATACCGTAGCCTTTGCGAGGGCACTGCTCAGAGCTGCGGGCCCTGCAGCTTCTCAGAGCCTCACGAAGTCCCGGCTAATTCCCCCCCCGCCCCCCGCTCCGGGCGCTGCCCCACGCTCAGGGCCACCCTTGGCAGCTCGGGCTCCCTGGCAGCTCGGGCTGTCTGGAGAGGGAGGAGGTCCCCGAGAGCGCGGGAGCGGAGGTGCAGACAGAGCTGTGAGCATCTCGAGGCACCGCCTCGGCCCAGCCTGCAGGGGGCGCCGGCGCTCAGGGTGGGGCTGAGGAGGGGGTACAGAGGCGAGGCTGCCTGGCCGCACAGCTGTCGGGGGAGCAGGGTCGGGGCAGGCTGCCTGCCTCAGAGCTGCCCCCCCCGTCCTGAGAGCTCAGCCGTGCCCCTTGGCTGCCTGAGCCTCAGTTTCCCCACCTCGAAAAATGAGGTGTCTGAGCTAAGACACGTGCTTCTCAGCTGTGTCCTGCCTCCGAGGGTTTAGGGTTCTGCCGGGGGGACAGACCTTGGGGACCCGTCACCCCGGATGCTGGCCCGGTCAGCTTGTGTGGCTGCCTCCGGCCGGGTCGGCCTCGCTGGCTGTAACCCTGCTTGGTGTGAGAGGGGGTGACCCGGCACCCCGTGCGGAGGGTGCGAGGCCCTGCGGCTCCTTGCCCTCCGCCTGCCAGCCTGAGCCCCAGCCCCGCCTGCTGTCCGGTTTGCCAGGGGGGCCAGGCTTGCACAGCTCGGACCGAGGCCTCTGCCGGCTCCTCGGCCCAGCGGGCGCCTCGTGACGGTCCTGGCGCCTCACCATGTGGGCAGAGCCCCACTCGAGTCAGCCCTGGGGTGTGGGAGAGCGCAGCCCTGGCAGGGCAGCACCTAGCCGTGTGTCTGCAGGGAGGGCGCAGGGTGCACCCAGGGGCCCCGGGCCCGGGAGGGCGGGACGGGTCCCGGCATCTCTGTGTGGCCGGCGGTGGGGCCGGCAGGAAGCGCTTGGCTGTGGGTGGAGAGGTGATGACGGACTGTACCAGCTCTGGGTGGCGGGACGGGGCCCGGGCAGGCCTGGGGACTCCCCAGCGCAAGCAGGGAGCCCGGCACCCCGGCCTGGGGGCTCTCCCAGTTACCTCCCGCTAGGAGCTGTGGACGGGCGGCCCCGGAGGCGGGCCCAGCTCTGCCTGCCCCGGCCCTCGGCCCTCCCCCGGGTCTGCAGCCCTGGGCTTGAGCAAGGAGCTACTTCCAGGCCCTTCCAGCAGTGGGGGGCGGGGGGAAGGGGGGTGCACAGGAGTGTTCGTGCAGGACTCTGCGTGTCACCCAAACTCCCCCAGTGCAGTGGGTCCCCAGGGACCCCCAGAAGCCAAGGGTCTTGTTTGGGGTGGGCCCTGCGGAGGCTGTGGTCCCCAGGGGCCTGGGGTGATTCCCTGGCTCAGCAGAGCAGGGCCCCGGGAGGGTGGGCTCAGGTGGGCTTGGGGGAGGTCGCACCACAGTATCTGGGGTGTCCCGGGGAGGCACGGCCCTGACACACCAGCTGGCTTGGGCCCTAACAGTGTGGAGTGGGCAGCCCCTCTGGCCCCATAACAGGCCTCAGGGTCCGGCCTCTCCCCTCTGCCTGCTCCCCCCCAACCCCCGTTTAAGGCCCTTGGTGCCCCCACCAGAGAGGAGGGGGGTGGACGTGGGCGTCAGCCTGCTGGTGACTCCCGGGGCCCGGCCCCTTGGGGAAAGGGCGTCCCGAGCTGTGGTTCTGAAGCCAGAGGCCTCCCAGCTCCAGTGTGGGGAGACCTGGCCGCCTGGGTGTTCTTGGGGACAGGGTTGATATGAACCCTGTCTTCTCGGCTGCCTCCCGACCCCTCATCGCTCCAGTCCTCCTGCTCTGGCCCTGGGCCCTGCGCGCCTCTGCTGCCCCGGAATCCGTCTTCCTGCCCCTCCGTCTCAGCGCCCCTCTTCCGGGAAGCCCCCCGGCTCTGCCTCTCTCCCGCTGGGAGCTCTGCCGCGGGGCCGGCGCCGGGGCCGGGGCGCCCTGGCGGACGTGCGGGGAGTGTGAGCGGTCTGTGTCTCAGCCGTGCAGGAGGAGCGGCAGCGCGGCAAGGACCGGAGCGAGAGCGAGGTGGAGTCCACGAGCAGCGCCAACGAGGACATGCCGGTGGAGAAGATCCTGGAGGCCGAGCTGGCCGTCGAGCCCAAGACTGAGACGTATGTGGAGGCCAACATGGGGCTGAACCCCAGCTCGGTGAGTGCCGCTGCCCGCCCTGGCCTCCCGCGAGGGACCGTGGGCCCCGTGAACGCCCCTGGGGAGGACCCACCTGCTGGGCCGCCGAGGCCGTGCAGCCGGGCCCGGGCGCTGCCTTTCCGATTCCTGGAATCAGAGCCGGGACTTTGCCCTGAACCTTCATGCTTCCCGTGGTCTCTGGCCTGTCGTCCAGTGGGTGACGGGGACCCCGCATCTGGCCCAGGTTTGCGGGCAGCATTACTTCTAGACTTCATCTGTGTCTCCCCTGGGCCCTGGGCTCAGGGCTCAGGGCTCAGGCTCTGGGGCTGACCCCGAGGTTGTCCAGCCCACCCTGACCGTTCTCCCCCTGGCTCAGTGGCCCAGGTCCTCCCACCCCAACCCCAGGGCCTTTGCACATGCTGCCCCTGCTGACTCCTCAGGCTTCAGTCTCAGCTACGGTGTCGCTTCCTCAGGGGGTCCTGCTCCTGCCAAGGTGGGCCTGGCCCTGTTAGGTGGGCTCGGCCCCCATCTTTCCCGCACGGCCCTGGCCCTGGCTCGGTGGTGTGTGTGAATTCCCCCTCATCACCATGAGGCTGGGGTGGCACCGAACTGCTCCTCCCTGCCCACCTTCCGTCAGGCACAGCGACACCTCTGTGCGGCGGGCGCGCACACATGGCCCTCTGCCCCAGTCTGAGAGTGTGGGGGTCCCCTCTTACCTGCTCAGGAGGCTCCGGCAGGCTGAGGCCCCCAGTTCCCTGCACTCCGTGACCCCATGACCCGGGTAATGCGGCCTGGCCCACCTCTCCAGTCCCGGTGAGGGGAGGGAGGCAGCTGTGAGGATTTCAAGCAGAAACCCATGTCGAGCAGAAACTCCAAAAATACCGAAGGCCCAGGAGGGCGGCCAGCGCCTAATTCTGTCGAGTCAGGGCATTACTGGGAGAGAACAGATCTGGCACCTGGTCTCCCTGTGGTTTCGGAGGAAGGGGGTCGAAGCTGCTGGCAGCGGGCAGGGCGGCCGGCAGGGGGCGCCTGTGAGCCCATGCAGAGCGCGCCGGCGTCTGTGACCTCGCCGCTGGGGCCTCGGGCCTCTGCTGGGTCCTGCCACCGCTCCCGGGACAGGATGGCCCTTCCGCTCCGGCTCCGGGAGCTCATGGAGCCGTGCTGTTGAGCTTGCTCGTCTAGTGGGAATCGAGGCTCAGAGACGTTAGGTGTTTGCTGGAGGCCACACAGCTGGATGGAGCTGGATCCCCTCGCAGCCCCGCCCCCCGAGGGACCCCCTCCAGGCCCCCCCACCTCAGACCCCTTCACTCGATCAGTCTGCAAAGCCGCTTTGGCTGTGTCAGGCCCCAGCCCTGAGTCAGGCTCCGGGGACTCGGACGAGGCGTCTTTGGGGGCCTCCTCAGCCACGCCGGTGGAGTGGGCCTGGTCTGGGCTGCGGTCCCTGCCTGCCACTCACTGCGGGGCCCCTCACCCAGCCCAACGACCCCGTCACCAACATCTGCCAGGCGGCCGACAAGCAGCTCTTCACGCTGGTGGAGTGGGCCAAGCGGATCCCGCACTTCTCCGAGCTGCCCCTGGACGACCAGGTCATCCTGCTGCGGGCCGGTGAGTGGCCGGCGGCCGGGGGGGGGTCACCCTGTCGCTGTGACAGGGCCGGGCGGGGGGGGGGTCACCCTGTCGCTGTGACAGGGCCTGGGGGGTGGGGGGGGGTGGGGGGGTCACCCTGTCGCTGTGACAGGGCCGGGCGGGGGGGCGGCGGGGGTCACCCTGTCGCTGTGACATGACAGGGCAGCCCTTCCTCTCCTGGGCCTCGGTTTCCCCGTCTGTGAAATGGGGCTAATGCTTGCTTTAGGACTGTGGTCGGGTCACATGGGATCCTCCATGTGATGTCAGCCAGCAGCCCCGGCGTGCGGCTGTGACCGGTTACTGCTCTTAGGGACTGCCTGTTCCCCGTTGCAGGAGGCACGGAGACACTGAGCACAGAAATGGTTTAAGGTTTTCTTCCTGTGCCGTCCCCCCACCCCCACCCCCACCCCCTTTGCTGCCTGCTCTGGTTTCCCTGCCCGCGGGGAGAGCGCGGGTTGGCCTGCGGCTCTAACGTGCCTTGTTTCAGATCCATGGTTTACTGCGTGGGGCTCCGCGTAGCGCAGGTTGACCTCTGAGAGTTTGCTGCTGGGACCAGACTGGCAGCTGCTGCTCTGGGGCCGCCCCAGAGAGGATGTGGGAGCTCTCCCAGGTGCTCCCTGGCCTGAGCTGTTCCGTGGCCGTCCCAGAGAGGATGTGGGAGCTCTCCCAGGTGCTCCCTGGCCTGCGCTGTTCCATGGCCGTCCCAGAGAGGATGGTGGGAGCTCTCCCAGGTGCTCCCTGGCCTGAGCTGTTCCGTGGCCGTCCCAGAGAGGATGTGGGAGCTCTCCCAGGTGCTCCCTGGCCTGAGCTGTTCCGTGGCCGTCCCAGAGAGGATGTGGGAGCTCTCCCAGGTGCTCCCTGGCCTGAGCTGTTCCGTGGCCGTCCCAGAGAGGATGTGGGAGCTCTCCCAGGCACTCTGTGGCACAAACATCCTGCATTTGCAAAAAGAGACTTCCCTGGGCACACGTGTTTGTGAGGACTTGCCAGGGCCTTTACTGTACCAATGTGCACTGCAGAAGAGAGCCATTTCCCAAACGTAGGTGCTCGGGAACCTCTTTTCAGGGGAACATTCATGGAGTTAGGGTTCCACGTAGCCCACTTTGGGAACCCTAGCTTGGGTTCCCATGGGGAAGGTGTGGGACAGATGGCTCACGCTGTCTTTGAAGGGTTGAGAAGGGTTGGCTGGCGGGCCCCGGCGACTGCTGACAGATCGCTCGCCTCCCCCAGGCTGGAACGAGCTGCTCATCGCCTCCTTCTCGCACCGGTCCATTGCCGTGAAGGACGGGATCCTGCTCGCCACGGGGCTGCACGTGCACCGGAACAGCGCCCACAGCGCGGGGGTGGGCGCCATCTTCGACAGGTGGGTGGCCGCCGGGCCGCGTCACGTCCAGCGTGGCATTTGTTCTGTTCACGAAGGTTGGAGTTGGGGCGTAGAGGAAGGTGCAAGGTGAAAGTTAAACCCTTCACAAGTCCAGCATCGGGTCCTCGCGGCCGTGGCTAACGTGGTGCGCTTCCTTCCAGCTCTTTTTTAAACCCTGTGTGTGGGGAGGAAAGCTGCTCTAAAAAACATATGTTTTTATTGACTTCAGAGAGGAAGGGAGAGGGAGAGAGAGAGAAACATCAACGAAGAGAGAGAATCGTTGATCAGCTGCCTCCTGCACGTCTCATGCTGGGGATGGAGCCCGCAACCTGGGCATGTGCCCTGACCAGGAACTGAACCGTGACCTCCTGGTTCATAGGTCCGTGCTCAACCACCGAGCCACGCCGGCCAGGCCACAGCTGCACTTTGTAACAAGCAGAAGTGGGTTCCTCCGTAGGCGCCGTTTCCCTGTGCCTGTTAAGTCAATGTGTGCTGTACCCGAGTGCAGCCCGGCCCACGTGTGCCCTGAGAAGGGCCTGCCCCTGCCCGGCCGGCTGGGTCTCAGCCGTGGCTCCTGGCCCCCGGTGGAGCCTGGGCTGCACCCGTCTACCTGGGCCCCGTCTCTGCAGCCCACCCCTGTCCACACGCCCTTGGACCAGAGGCCACATGGTGTCAGGACATGCTCTCTCCCACCTGCCCCCCGGGTCTTTTTCCAGCTGCAAGAACGCCCCCCAAACCCCTCCCCCCCAACCAGCCTGCAGACCCCAGGGCTCCTGGGGCCACAGGGAAAGGCATGGGCTCCTGGCGGCTGTCCAGGCCCCACCTGGACCACCTCCCTTTGCTCCCCGTGGCCAATTCCCACCACTCGCCACTTCCTGGATATGCTGTCAGGCTGGGGCTGGTGAGGTTGGGGCGCCCAGGCCGGGTGGGAGGCCGTAGCTGGTCCCGGGGTCAGGACACTGCCACTTGGGGACCAGGACGCGAGGCTGGGTCAGCTCCCCCGACAGGGTTCTGGGGCGGCTCTCTGTTCCCGTGAGGCTGGTGGGTGGCTCTGCGTGGAAATACATGTCTGGTGAGGAGTGGAACAGGCCCCTCTGAGTGAGGCAGGCCTCAGACGGCCCGTCCTTTCCTGGACTGGGGGTGTGGGTGATGCTGGCGCCCCAGCGCTGTGCCTCAGGCTGCCCGCGCCCGCCGTCTGCAGCTCAGTACCGGTGGCCCTGGGCCTGGCCCCGTGTCCAGGTCCCTGGCTCATGTTGGCTCGGCTGTCACAGGGTCCGAGAGAGGGAGTTGTGGGAGCCCCAGGTTTCCAGAATAAAGGCACATGCAGACCCTCCGGGCAGAGCAGGGAGCCCGCGGGGGGAGGGGACCGGCCTGGCGTGGCGGACGTCGGGCCTGGGCTGGGCAGCTGAAGCTTGACCTTCTCAGCTGTCTTCTGGGGCCACGTGGGCTCCCCGAGTCCTGTGGGTGTTTCTGGGGGCCCAGCGTGGGCACAGTCTGACGTGGCCTTGGCGTTCGCCCGCTTCCTCGCAGGGTCCTGACGGAGCTGGTGTCTAAGATGCGGGACATGCACATGGACAAGACGGAGCTGGGCTGCCTGCGCGCCATCGTGCTCTTCAACCCGGGTATGGCCCTGCAGGCCCGCCCCAGCCACGGCGCCCCAGCCACGGCACCACACTCCGCTGCCCACAGCCACAGCACCCTCAGTCACGGTGTTCACAGCCCCGGCACCCACACTCCGCTGCCCACAGCCACAGCACCCCCAGCCACAGCGTTCACAGCCACGGCACCCACAGCCACGGTGCCCACACTCAGCTGTCTACAGCCACAGCACCTCCCAGCCACGGCGCCCACAGCCACGGCGCCCACAGCCACGGTGCCCGCACTCCACTGCCCACAGCCACAGCACCCACAGCCTCCCGCTGCCCCCCACCCCAGTGCCCCAGCCATGGTGCCTCCATTTACCATGGGGCCGGGCCGGGCCGCCCCTCCTCTGGCCCATGTGAGGGTCACACGAGGTGGTGTCCATGGCTTCCAGGAGGTGTCCTGGGGGACAGGCCTGTCCCGCGTCCCCTGAGCCAGCCTGCCCCCACCGCCCGTGCTGCCCGAGTGCACGTGTCCCAGGCGGCTTCGGGGAGGGGCTCTGACCTGCGGCCCCTTCCTCCTCAGACTCCAAGGGGCTCTCGAACCCGGCCGAGGTGGAGGCGCTGCGGGAGAAGGTGTACGCGTCCCTGGAGGCGTACTGCAAGCACAAGTACCCGGAGCAGCCGGGCAGGTGAGCCGCCGCTCTGCCTGCCCCCGCAGGGCGCCCCCGGGCACTGCTGTGTGATGAGAAGTGGCCCCTCCTGGGTGGAAGGCAGCCCGGGAACCCCTGGCGTGTCCGGAGCGAGGACGGGGCCCCGGGCCCAGTGCAAACACGCTCGCACACCTTTCTGTAGCCCCACCAGGAAGATGGGCCCCGCGCACGCCGGCACGCAGTAGGTGCTTGTCTCTGTAGAGAGCGTAAAGAAGGCCGTGCTCCCCCCACCCCCGAGGGAACCACTAGAGGCAGGGCCAGACTCCAGCGCATAGTAGGTGCTTTGTCAACGCATGCAGGGTCGATAGATGGGGTGGTCTTGGGTCGTCTCATTTCCAGGTCCGTGGTGCTGGGGCACAGTAGGTGTCAGGAGAAGGAAGGGGCTAACTCTGTCCCGGTCGTACCCCCTCCCTCCAAAAGGCCACTCCTGGTGGGGGTCCTGGGCAGGCCTCCCTCTCCCGCCCGCCGGCTGGCGCGCACACGGTTAACCGTGGCCGAGCCCTGGCCCATCTGGTTTGGTTTAAGTGGAGCTTCCTGGATGGAGCGGCAGCCCCTGCTTTTCCTGGCGCCCCGCCGCAGCCGCCCGCCAGCTCAGCAGAACGGCTCGCCCTCTGGCCCCGCTCCAGCCTCGGGGGCCGCATGTTTTGCCTAGAAAATGCGGGCTGTGCGGCAGCCAAGCACAGGGCTTTCGCCCCCAAATACGTGGTGAGGTCCCACAGCCCTGCAGCGCCTCGAGGTCCGAGTGGAGACCCGGGCAGCACACGGAGGGGCCTGGGCCGGCGTGGGTGTCCCTGCGGGGACGTTGGGCCCAGTTGGCTGAGCCTGACCTTTGTCCTCTAAGGCCCCCCCAACTTCTGCCCCCCCATCCGGGACGCAGAAACTCCCAGGGCCGGGCAGGGCCTGTTCCAGCAGAGCTGCTTCTGGGGGACGGTGGGCCTGGCGGGAGGCACGGTGGGCCTGGCGGGGGCACGGGTGGGCCTGGCAGGGGCACGGTGGGCCTGGCAGGGGCACGGTGGGCCTGGCGGGGGCACGGTGGGCCTGGCGGGGGCACGGGTGGGCCTGGCAGGGGCACGGTGGGCCTGGCGGGGGCATGGGTGGGTCTTACCAGCTCAGGACCGGCTCCTCCGCCTCAAGCCCCCCCGCACCCAGCGGCCTTGCTGTCGCTCAGCTCTCTCCTGCTGTGAAACCCTGCTGGGCGCCTCTCGCCCTGGGGGAAAGCCCGTGTGTTTTGAACTCCCTGCATAGCCGTAGTCGGCTGACCCGGCCTGGCCACTGGCCCTTCACCCCGGGGTCTCCGTGCCCACCTGGGCTCCTGTCTCCATGCCCTGCAGCCCCGTTTCCTCCGCCCGAGGGCCCCCCTGGCCCCCCTAAGCTCAGCGCAGGCAGGTCTCATGCAGGTTTGGGGGATCGGGCCTGAGAGTCAGTTCTGTCCCGGGAGGCAGCCAGGCACGGGCGGAGGGGGGTGACCCCGCCGCACTCACGCCCGCTGCCCCGCAGGTTCGCCAAGCTGCTGCTCCGCCTGCCAGCGCTGCGGTCCATCGGCCTCAAGTGCCTGGAGCACCTCTTCTTCTTCAAGCTCATCGGGGACACGCCCATCGACACCTTCCTCATGGAGATGCTGGAAGCCCCGCACCAAATGACTTAGGCCCGGCCGCCCCGCCAGCCGCTCTCCTCGGCCGAGCCCCGTCCCTGCCCCTCTCCGCCCGGCCTGTGTGGACTTCGGGGTGCAGCCTGTCACTGCTAAGCCTAAGAGATGTGTTGCCACCCCCTCCCTGTCAGTGCTGCTCGTCTTTGGACCCCATAGGGCACTGCTTTCCCAGGGCGGCGGCCGGAGCGGCAAGAACTCGCGTGGCCCCCCTGGCCATCAGCTCCCGAGAGCCTGGGTGGCTCACGGCCTCAGGCCCTGTCCCCCGGGCCCTGTCCCCCGGGCCCTGTCCCCGGCAGCAGGCGGGAGGGTGGCGTTGGGGGGTTTCTGAGTCTCCCTCAGCTCTCCCGCTTGGAGTGCTGGCCCCGCCCATGATGGGGGGCGCAGGTGGGGCTGGTGTGTCTTTGCAGAGGACCCCCCTCCTGGACAACGACAAGGGGCTCTGGGCGGGTGGGCTTCTCCGTCAGTGAAGGGGAGCGGCCCCTTTTCCAAAGATGACGGCGGGGTCCCCTTGCCCATGCCGGGGGCTGACCTCTGCGGGGACGAGGGTTGCCCGCCCACCTGTCTTTGCATCATTTCAGCTTCGCCCCGCCCCCCATGGCCGCCTGACCCCGGGTGACCAGACGGGGTTCCCGGTCTCTGCTTGATCCCAGATTGTCTGTGCGGAGGCCCAGGCTGGCCTCGTGCCCACGCCTCTGCTGTCCGCCCTCTCCTGGGCAGAGGTTGCCCCCGGGGGCCCACAGGGATGCGAGGGGAGGAGGCTGCCTTCCCGGAGGGTCTCCATCCATTGGGGAGCCCGGGGGATCTGGGGGCCCAGAGCCGTAGGAGGGGCAGGTGGGGCCGTGGCTGGAGCTCCCGGGAGAGGCGCTTTTTCTGACTGCAAGGCTCAGAGTCGGGAACCCCTAGGCACCAGGCCCTCTGCACAGCTCGACGCCCCCGGGAGCAGCCAGGCTGGCCTGGGGGTGGAGCAGGTGTGGGGGCCCCATCTGACAGTCCTCTGGGTGGAGGCGCCCTGCTCAGCCCCGCACCCACTTCCCCAGCGTTCGGACCCAGCCCAGGCGGTGGCGCTCGGGCCTGCAGGTGGGGGCTTGCGGGTTGAACTGGCCTCGTGCATGGTCACCCCTCCCTCTGGTCCGTGCTGCCCATTCTCACGCCCACACCCCACGGACCCAGCACTGAGCAGAGGGGGCGATGGGGGTCCTGCCTGCTCAGCCCCAGGGCGTGTCTGTGATGGCAGCGTCCCTCCTGCCGCCCCCACCAGCAGCCCTGGGCAGGTGTGTGTCCGGAGGGCAGCCTTCCCTAGTCACCCCGAGGGTGCAGGGTGCCTGGGCAGGGGCTGGGCGGGAAGAGGCCGGCCCTCGGGGAACACAGTCCATTCTTTGCCTCCCAGAGCCCCCCACCCGGGCTGAGGTGGAGGCCCCTGGCCGAGGCCGCCTGCCCCGGGCACTCCTGTGAGGGGTGCCACAGCCTGCCCACCCGCCCCGGTGCCTTCTGCAGCCAGACGCACCCCGTCGCCCATGCCCAGCTCCCTCCTGCTCCTCTGGCCTCTTGGGGACCTGGGGGCCCTCTGGTGGGGGGTCGGCTTCTTGGGGACGTCACTGTTACCGGCTGGCAGCCCGCAGAGCCCTGAGGCCGCCGGGCCACCACCTCCCTTAGGTGGAAGCGCCCCTGGCCCCCTGCCCCCCGCAGCCCGCCTGCACCAGCGTCCCTGCGGCTGCGCTTCCTGCTCCCAGCGCCGCCTGCAGGGGGGGAGCGGCCGCCCTGCGGCTTGTTTACCCAGGTCTCCAGCAGCTCGCCAGCCTGGCTCAGCTACAGTGATTCTTGGTAATTATTATCCTATTGGTGGGACAATCTTTAATTTTCTAAAGATAATGTAACCAGCGCGTTCGCCGCCCGTGCTGCCCCGCACGGCCGCTGGACACCGCCCAGGCCCGGCAGCTGGCGCCTCCCGCCGAGGCCCGAGATGCCCACGTCCTGTGCGTGGAAGGTGTTGGCACCGCCAGCCTGCCCGGCCCAGCCCCTGGGAAGCGGCCTGCGGGACATTCACCGTGATGGCCCCACGTCTGCTGCCGTCACCTGGAAGTGCGGCCTCCGGGCATCCCCCGGCTCGGCGTTCCCACAGGAGGCCGGCGGCAGCCGGTGCGGGACCAGGCCGGGCCCCCTGCGGGGCCCCGGGAGGCCTGGCTGGCTGGGCAGCGACCGGGTCACCGGCTGATGTCCCCGTCATGGAACTCGGGTGCGTGGCCTGGCCCCTGCCCGCGGGATGGTGGCGGACGTGTGTGCTGTTGAGAACCGCCTGGAGCTGACGCCGTCTGCGGACATGCGTGCCCGACGTGTCCTGTTTGTTTTAATTAAGACTCCCCGTCCATTTGCTTCGTGTGAGCAAGTCCCTGAGGACCCTCTGGTGACCGGGTTTGACGGCCTCCAGGCCAGGACGTGCATCTATTTTAAGATGCTTTGGCGCAGACAGCGCCAGCCGGTCGCACCCTTAGCCATGCCTTAGCCGGGACGCGAGCGGCCGCTCCAGAGGTGAATGAAGAGAGAGGAAGCTAAGAAGTGTCTAAGCAGCGGGAAAGGTGAAAAAAATCTATTTTTGTACAAATGTAATTTTATCGTCATGTAAACTTGCTGATACGCGGGAGGGGCTTGCTCTGTTTCTGCCCGGATCGCGAGGTGGCCCTTCAGGGAGCGCGGCGGGAGCCGAGCAGAGGCGGGCGGTGATGCGGCTCGGGCTTCGTGGCCTTGGTGGCACCCCCGCCGGGGACCCGCCCTGCCCGGGGACCGGCCTGCACGCACGGGGCTGTCCCTGCCGCCACGCCTCCCGTGCACGACTGTGAAGCTGCTTCCGACGGACTGTTCTGCAGCGCTAGCCGCGGGCCGGGTGTGCGAATCGTGGAAAAGAAAGAGACAGCGTGGGAGGAGGAACAAAACATGAGCGTTTAAAACACATCCTCGCCCTCCAGGCCTCGTTTGTTCTGCTGGGTTTCCTGTTCGGGTCGGGACGTCGGCCGCACAAGGGGGTTCCGGGGCTTTCTGCCACCGGGGGGCGGGCGGCCATCCTCAGCCTGACCCTGCCAGGCCGGGCAAGGCACGACAGCGGGAACCACCGGCCATCTGGCTGCCTACAGACACCTGGATGACGCCCATCTGCTCCTTCCTGTGTGACCAGTGCCCTTCGGTCCTCGCTGTCCGGCCTGGGCTGGGCCAAGCCCTCCTGTGTCTCTGTCTAGCAGGCTCCTTGGGGGAGGCCCTGGGCACCCTGGACAGATGGCGCTGAGGGTGAGAGCCACTCCCAGCCGGGAGGGGTAGACCTTATAAGGGCCTGAGAGGCAGGGCTCCCCTGACATCCCCCCCACAATGGGCTCACACACTCAACCTGTGTACACACTCTCACACATACAGGCGCGCGCACACACACACACACTGAAATGCACAACTTCAGCTCATCTATAACACCCCCACCTGCTGCCCGCCCGGACACGTGGACTGTGGCTGGTGGGGGAGTGGTGGGGCAGAGGGGCCTTGGCAAGCTCACAGCAGGACTGGCCAGGCCCCTGCAGAACTGGGAACCACACCCACCATCTCCTTCCCAGGGGGGATGGGTTGGTGGCCCCACCTGCCTCCGAGCTGCTCTCTGGGCCCCCGACGGCCTGGACGGTGGTGCCCGGGGGACCCGGAACCACAGGAACGGTCTGCCGTCTACTTAAGACCCGTGGCCAAGCCCACTGTGAGTGCCGGGGCCGGTGGGTCCTCATGCCTGCCCCTGGTCAGGGCCCTGACCTCGCCCATGGGACCCATCCAGGACCTCCTAGACGGGTGGGTGTGGGAGCCCCGGGGGGCGGGAGGGTGTGGGAGCCCTGGGGGGCGGGAGGGCGCCGTCTGAGGCCCTGGCCCTGCGCCCCCCCAGCACAGCCCCCCACTGGCCTCTGGGCCCTGCTGGGAGCGGCTCACAGGTACCAGCCAGGGGTCCCTTCTTGAGGGGCCTGGAGAATTTGGGGGCTGCCTCCTGCTTGAGGGACCCTGTTCTGCCGCCCACATGCCCAAACCCTCTGTGTGGGACACTGGGCCCCCGCGGTCCGCTCCCCGAGCACTGGGCATGGCCTCCAGGGCGAGTGAGTGAGTGAGCCCAGCGGGGGGACCTCACAGGGTGGGGAGCGCAGAGGGCGGGCTGGTGTGGGTGTCCCCTGCGGAGAGCAGGCTGGGCAAGGAGGGGCCTCCGGGCCCAGGGAGGTCCAGGAACAGGAGGTCCCCGAGGTCCTGCCCTTCGTGCTGGGAGGACGGAGCCTTGAGCAGGGCCTGGGTCGGGGACGCCTGTCTGACCGTTAGGGGTGGCCCAGGCCAGAGCAGGATGGTGGCCAAGAGGCTCTTGGGGAGCTCACCTGGACGGCGTGCTCACCTGGGAGAGGGGCCTGGACGGTGTCCAGGTGGCAGGGCTCACACCTCTTCCTGCGGGGAGCCCACCCGGAGGCCACCCCTCAGGCTGCCCTGAGCCTTGCCAGGCAGCCTGGCCTCGGGCTCCCTGCTGCCTCCGGTTGCCGTGGTGATGCCTGCCCAGGGTTTTCCCCCGGGACCGGGGGCGCTGAGCTCGAGGCGGTGACAGCGGAGTTGCAGGGTTTGGGGTTTGTAACCTGAGCGCTGAGGGTGGGGTGGGGGCACCCACATATCCAAGGCCCTGCTGGGTGCCAGGGGCCCAGTGCCAGGCAAAGGCCGGCCTTGCCATCGGCCAGCAGAAAGGGCATGCGTGGCAAAGGGGCATCAGAGGGCTGGGGAGAGGCCCTGGGAACAGACGGAGGACACGGTCGGGAGTGGGCGCCATGGCTGGGGCAGCAGCCTTCAGAGGGGGGGCCCCATGGAGGTGGCCGGAGTCTCGGGGACCTCAGGCCGGAGGGGCGGAGTGTGCAGGGCGTCAGAAGGCCCATGTAAAGACCTCAGTCCCCAGCCCTCTGATGCCCCCAGTCCCATCTGTCTCCAAACCCCGGGCTCCCGTGGGGTGAGGACCGACCCTGACCCTGGCCAGGACGGGGCGGCAGCTGCCCTAGTGTTGTGGGCCTGGCAGCACTCCCACGCCTGGCACAGAACCTGAGGACAGTGCCAGCCCCGCCCCAGGGGGCATCCAGCTGCTGTGACCTGTCGGAGTGGACCGGCCATTCAATCTAACATCGCCCCCACCCCCCCCTTCAGCAGCAGAACCTTCTACATGGACGCCCGGGGAGAACCCAGGGCAGGCCGGAGGGCCTAGCCCCCGGTCGCGCCCCCCGCCCCCCCAGCTCTCTGGGAGGAGTCCTGTCTTGGGGTGGGCAGCCCCAGCCCCTTGTATGTTTTCTTTTAAATATTGTTTTTCTTTTTCATATGTTTTTATTGATTTCAGAGAGGAAGGGAGGGGGAGAGAGAGAAACATCAATGATGAGAATCATTGATCGGCTGTCTCCTGCACGCCCCCTACTGGGATGGAGCCCGCAAACCAGGGCATGTGCCCTTGACCTGGAATTGAACAGTGACCTCCTGGGTCATAGGTCGACGGTCAACCACTGAACCACGTGGCCAGGCACCAACCCCTTGGTTTTGATGAACCCCCAGGCTGCCCGGGTGGGGTGGGGGGGTGCACCAGGTCTCTCAGAACAGCTCTAGGGGAGCTGGCCAGCCCGAGGCAGCACTGCCCCCTGCTGGTGACACTGGTGCAGAGCCCACCCTGACCCCGTCCTGTCCCTCCGGTCTGTGGGGTCTCCCGCAGCCCTACTGCAGGGGCGCGACTCCCTGAACATTAGAGTCACCGGGCGCCAGGGACCCTGACCCCCGGGCCGTCCCCGGCCGATGAAGTCGGGGGCGTGGGAATGAGCGGCTGCGCGGAGGCCAGGGAGCCGGGGGGAGGCCGGTTGACGAAGCTGCTCCCTGGGACTCGGGCTCACGGCTGAGCTGCCGCATCCAGGTCCCTGGGAAGGGGCTCCCGGAACTGAACGGCGGGTCGAGGGCGGGGCAGGAGGAGCTTCTGGCGGGGCCTGGAAGCGAGACCAGCAGGAGCACAGCGATGGGGTCGCCCCCGGGACACAGGCCGCAGCCGACCGACCGACCAACCGACCGACCATCGCGGGGACAGCGGCGCTGGGAGGGACTAACTCAGGTGGCGTTGGATGATAACTCGAAGGATAACGTGAACATACGGAGGAAGTGCAGGGAGCCAGCAGAGGGCCTCAGAGCGGAGAAGCCAGGGGCCAGGTCGTCAGCAGCAGTGACGAGCCACGGTGACAGCACGGGCCCTGATGGCGGCGGTGACAGGCGCCCCCCCCCCCCCCCCCGTGGTCTGCCCCCAAACCCGCCCCAGTTTGACTGCAGGAAACGTGCCGGGAGCCGGTCCATCCTTGCTGTTTCAAGGGACCTGGCATATATGGCATACTGTTCTTAATATGTTTGCTCACCTTCTTGGCACTATGTGTTTTAACCAAGGTCACCTCTCCGAGAAAGGTTGTTTCCCCAGGTAGGGATTTTCCCCTGAAGTTAGGGAGGGAATAAAACCCCTTAACTAAGTGCCAGGCGGGTAATTAATCACTTTAACTACGAACAATCATGCTTAAGCTACATAATCTTTACTCCCTGGAATGGAGATAAGAAACGCCCTAACCTTTGGAATAGAGATTGATAGGATTGGAGTCAACTGGTATAAATACAGATGTAACAAGACAACAGGACACAGAACCTAGACACAGAACCTACACAGAACCTAGAGACAGAACTTCGCTGGAGAGAACATGGCAAAAGATCCTGGACAGAACCTAGAGACAGAACCTAGACACAGAACCTAGACACAGAACCTAGAGATGGAACATGGCAAAAGATCCTGGACAGAAACTGGCCACAGAACCTAGAGACAGAACCTAGTGAGAGAACATGGCCAAAGAACTTACAGACAGAACCTGGCTACAGAACCTGGATAGAACATGGCAAGAGAACCTGACTAGAACCTGGTGACTGAACCTGGCTGGAGAACCTAGCGAGGGAACATGGCTACAGAACCTGGCTGGAGAACCTGGAGAACGTGGCTGGAGAACCTAGCAAGAGAACATGGGCACAGAACCTGGCTGGAGATCCTGACCAGAACTTGGCTAGAGATCCTGGCTAGGCTGCTGATCAACTGAACGCTCTCTCTGTGTCATTCCTTCTTTGCCGACTCCGTCCACACCTTTGGGGACCCCTGGACCTCCTGGGGCTGGACCCCAGCAGAAACGTGCCCGACAAGTCCCAGGTGAGGACATTCCACGCCACCCCACGTCCTGAGACGGGTAGGAGGGCAGAGACATGGACGGGGACACGGAGCAGGCTGCCCCACGCCCACGTGCGGCGGGTACAACTCGGGAGGGGTATCCGTGGTCCCGCCCTGGAGCCCGGGCTGGGGCCCTGGTGCTGGGGCTGGGACGCCTCACGGCTCCGGATGGGGACGGTGGCTCAGCCTTTCCATATTTTTTCAGTTTTCTTTTCTTTTTTTACTTGAGCTGGGCTTGGAGGTGCCCAGGGGGGAGGAGATGGTGGGCGGGACTGGGATCTGGTGCCAGGAGGGGCTGATAGGCGACCTGCTCCCTGACTGGCTCTCCTCCCTCTCCCCCCCCCCCCCCTCCCCTCCCTCCCTCCAAGGTCAGGCTCACTAACTAGGTCATTGTTGCTATGCCCGAGCCTCAGTTTGCCCAGGAGTGAAAGCCAGTGGGGATGGGAATGACCCCAATCACAGGACCGCCTGTGGCCGGTGTGCGCGGCCTCCACAGCTCAGTCTGCAAGGCCCCGCAGGCCAGCCCGGCAGGGGCAGCCTGGTCCCCAAAACACCGACCGGCGAGACTGCAGGCGGGGCCGGGCTGTCAGCGCCCCCGTTCGCCACCAGAGGGCAGCATCGCCTCGCTGAGCGCAGTCCGCCGCCGAGTCCGGTGGCCTCTGCTGATTGGCTAACCCCCACCGTCTCCCTGGCA